CAGCACTCCTATATATGTGTGTGTGTATGTGTAAAAACGGCACACTTTTGCCGAAAATATCGAGGAAAATATTATCAGTTATTGATGACAAGTTAACTACCATAATAAACACATGATTGACGTAAAAAAAGCATTAAACGAATCTCATTGTTAATGTCCGTATCTGCTCGTTCCCTGGTAAGAAAGTCACATGCTCTACTACTGTAAATACAGTTAAAAAAAAGCTCAGCAACAAAGAGCCCTTAAAACTGTTAGCATCGCGATCTGGGTTTGCGGCATCCGTAAACGAGTTCCAGTGAACGTTGACCCCCCCCCCCTGCCCTTTGAAAAAACACCACAAACCTTGACGTAAAGTTCCCTCGTCGTCATCGCCGCAATTTTTCACACCTTACAAGGGGAAAAAATAGTTGAACCCCAGCAGCCTTCGCTCACGCGATCTGAAGGGTCAGCATATTGTAAGAGTACCACGTTGAATCATCGCCGCCACCACCAGTGAATCAGCCTTGCAGCTGTACATGGCAAGTATTCCTCCTCTGGAGACACCTTAAATTTGAAACACTAACTAGCACCTTATTCACCGTTATCAGTATTATATATGGTCAGCACTCCGAACACATACATGCACATATAGATTTTCGCGTGTTTCAAAGAATCACTAACGTTGCGGGTAACTATACGAAAAGTAACATCGTCCGCAACATATACGCACTCCGAGCTCTCGCTACTGACTGCGGGACCGCGCGTCGATCGGTAGTGTAAAGTGTATTGTGATCGCCCTCCTCTTACTTTGCAGTGCTGGAGGTATCATGTGGGTGCGCGCGCACTTCTAAGTATGCAACAAATGATACGCCGCGAGAATATTGCCCGGTTAGGTGAAGGTAACCGATAACAGCTGGGGTGGTTCTGTCAATAAATGATAAATTTATACGTGCGTGCGGGTAATATGGACTTATAAACTTACTTCTAATCTACTTAGTATCTGAGCTGATACATTTGGTACACGTAATTACAAGTTTAATGGCCAGAAAGCACAAACTAAACTAATAAGAGCTAACTATCTCTCGTGAGTAATTTTTGTTACTTTAACGTTTTCTACTAAATAGACTTAAAAAATACTACTTACTTTAAATGGTAACGAAAAGACTATTACATCAATAATTGGATGGTTAAATAATAAAAAAGTAGCTTTGGCCTGTAGACTTTATATCAATGTAGGTTCAAGTAATTTATTAATTTTAATAATGTCATTTACGTGAATATTTATCGTGCCACAGGAAGTCATGTGGGACTTAGATAACTTTATCACATAATACTTTTTCATTCTAGTTTTCTATGAATATAACTCGTATTCTAATTTTAATATGCTATCTGAAAGAAATTAAATTACAATATTAAATTCTTATAAGCAATATTCTTAGCTGTAAATGTATTATATTGACAAACGTAATTTTCAATACATACAAAACATTAGTTTTACTCAATGCAATAGAAATGAAAGTAATAAAAAAATCAGATACATCTTTTGTATCTAATATTCAAATTTTTTATACTTGCCTCATATCCTTAGTTAATGAAATAATATAGAAAAAATATATATAGGTAGATAAGTAATATTGATTCATCATTAGCTACAAAAATGATTGGAATTACAAAATAAAATATAATTTTGAATGCAATATAGTTTAACAACTTCTCTCTGTGTTCACGGGGTTGAGACTGTCATTTCGACATAATTCATTAATTAATAAACTAAACGCCAGCATTAAAAAAGTTTGATTATATTACATTTGTCTCTTGAGATGAATATGATGTGTAGTTTCTGCCAGCCACTAAATAAGAAAGGTCCTAATTTAAATAGTAGTATTCAATCGATATTCAGATTAAACTGTTTTCATAATTGTCTTAGCACTCAGCAGGAGCAGTGCACTTCATTTTTTCTATATAAAAATTTTTCATTTGTTTTACCATATATTATTAATAGTAATAATTTTACTATACTTGCAAAATTCAATCATTTGACCATGTTTGTCATTGTGGATTACTCAGCCATAATTACTTTGTTGCGGTGAGTTACTCAGCCATACACATATTACGGCGAATTCCGTTTAGCCATATACATTGCGGCGAAATAAATAACGGCGAATTACTCAGCCATGTAACTTACGATGAATTTCTCAGTCACATACTGAGTAGCATATTTTACAGTTATAATATTTTTGAAACGTTTGTAGCTGGGTAGTCAATCAAACTGTTTTATATTTGCAAGTATATCTACTTTTATAAAAATTTCACAGTTATAAGCATAAAGTACAAATCAAAGAATTTAATGCAATATTATTTCTTTCAATACATTGTCTATGTAAAAATCTTTTGCAATTACTACATTGGAATTCAATGCATTCAGGATTTGTAAAATCAGTACGTCTTAAGAAACAAAATTGACAAGTGACCTTCATGCATTCTAAATTTACGAAAAATAGTTTAGCTATTCTCATTATGAATGGATAAGGATCAAAATTTATATGAAAATGTTTTTTTTTCCTCATATTCCATATAGTTTATTATCACAACACCACAGTTTTACTCATGTTTTTGTGTGAATCTCCTGGGGATGGGCAAATTAAAAAAAATATATCGATATTTAAAAACTTTATCGAAAATGTATCGATATTGGTTAAAAAATTATACCGATGTATCGATACATCAAGCTTATATATACAATAATTGGGTTTATATTTAAATATTAGTAGATATAAACTTAATTTAAATCGCATTTATTAAATAATAGTAGGTACAAGGTTATTTGATAAAAAAACGCATTTATTTAAATCTATTCAAACCAGTACTCATCTGATATAAACATTAAAAGCACTCTTTGTTTAATATGTTCCACTGTCAACCTACTTCTTGAATCTGATGCAGTTAAGTTTACCACAGAAGCTACTCTTTCAGAAGATACAGAAGAAGCTTGGCATGTCATGTACTTGAGAGCAATTTCTGATAAAACAGGCGTGAATTGTCTACTGCTTAACCAGAATTGTACAGGATCAGACTCTCGTCCCATGAGAGGCTGATCAAGGTATTGCTTTAGTTCATTTGGTACACTACCAAAGCTAGAAACTTCTTGAATCTTTGCACTCTGAGATACAAGCCTTTCGTGTCGAGACCAAAGTGATGTATTGTTTAAGCTGGCTCCTACGACTACTGCTGAGGTCAAAGACAAACAAAAAATACAGTTTTGTTTTTCAATAAACAAATGTGTCTGAAAATCATTATGATATTTTTAATAACGTATGAGGTGAGAAAAATGATATTTATGTGTGTAGTTTAACTTTGTACGAAAAATTAATTATTGTTTTGACCAGTATAGTGCATACGAGGGTACACCACCAGACCAGACCACCTGTGTTGGTATAGTATAGCGATGTAATATATAGGTATATGGTATATATATATGTCGTGAACAAGTACGTCTGCTACCCACGTGACCTCCTGACCTCCCGGATACTATTTATTTATTTCCATCACAAATATCTCGCTAAAATGGTCCTTTATCCACAATTTTTAATACAGCATATTACAGAGGAAGACTTCATCTACAAAACGTATATATTCAGTCTGCTGGGACATTTAATTTAGGTTTATTATAAACGAAAACAAACTGTTTTTCACGCTGCCCCATAGAAACACGTGCTAATAGTTACAACTTTGAGCTCAGATTTCTCAAAATTTTGACCCATTCGAAATATAATTTAGACCACCATCAAATTCAGTAGACTTTTATTTACAAGAAATAATATATCTCTGTTTGGGGACTTTCGTGAAGGAGCCCCCTTAAGTCTGCTGTCTGTGTAGATCTACTGTCTGGTGATCGTTTACCTTTCTTTCTGTTCTCGGAGTGAATCTCATCACTTAATTGTGTGATTACTGCCGATTCTGCTAAACTAGATGTGAAGTGTAAACGCTTAAATCTAGGGTCCAATACGGTCGCTGCAGCAAGGAATTTACTATTTTCAAATGGACTTAGTCATTTTGAAACTCCTTGGAGTAAAGCTTCTTTTATTGTACAACCAGAATCACTTGAGGGAGTTGCTTGTTCTATGGTTTGTTTTAATAAAGTAGCAATGGGAATCTTGCCGCGTGCGCGAAGCTCTGTACTTCTCCTACTCTCAGTTCTCTCAGCCTCAGTCAAACACTATGTAGACTAAAGGCACAAACAACAAACCTATAAGTGACAATTCAAACATACGAAAACAGGGCATCGACAAATGTATACACATACATAAATTGCAGTACTATTTTTCATTTTGATTAATCAAGAGCTGTAGTACGTAAGTCTTATAATTTTTCTTGCTTTTGATTATCTGGACAAACTGACTTTGATATTGACTAAAATATATCGTTTTTAATATTATTTCGATATTACTAAAAATACATCGATATACGATATATCAGTGAAAAAAGCTATCGGCCCAATATATCGATATATCATTTAAAAAATATCGGTGTTTCCGATATATCGATACATTTTGCCCATCCCTAGAATCTCCGACTTCTGCCAACTTTTCTTATCTACTTAGCAATTAAGTTCATATTATTATTGTAATGATTTCTAAAAATTTCAAGATATTTTTCCAAATTATCTGCATATATTTTTAATGTACCGCCTATGTATTGATAATCCAAAATCATAGAGTCATAGTGCGTTAATATTCTGTTATTTACATCAATTTTCATGTAGCAACAATGGTTTTGAAATCCATATGGTGCTAATATCACACCTGATCAATTTCCTTGTGAATACAACATAAACCAATTTTTATCTGGTTTCTTATTTGACAATTCTATTAGAAGCATGTTTGTTACTTTTGTCAAAAATATAGTTATACTGTATTTCTTTTCCAAATAAATTCCAAATACATCAATCATGCTTCCCTCGATTGTTCCATAAATTTATAATTTTGCCAAATAATGTTAGATATGATTTTGAGAGTAACAACTTATAATTTTTATTAAAATTCGAAGGTGGATTTCCGTAAACGTCGATTTCACGGTAATCTCTGAAGGGATGATTATCTATACTTTTATATCTCACTACGGCAAACTGGAAATCGTTTTGATTATAATGTTAAATATTAAGTAGAAATCCATTTTCTATTAGCAAAGTGTTTCTTAGATCATTTAAATTTTCAAATTGACTTTTACTTGGATTCATACTTTTATGAGTTTTTTATGAAAAATTTGTTGGCTTACTCTTGAAAGTTTTTTATTAATGTCTACTTTAATATTTTTCATTTTCATATAATTTACAGAGTTTATAGTCATCTTATCGACAGTTATTTTAAAATCTAATATACTATCTGATTGCGATTCTTCATTGTCGCTATGCTGTATCACTTTACGCATATCTTATTTACATTCGATTGCAGAGTGATCACTTATACAAGCACTGTCATCGATAACTTTTTCTAATTTTGTGACTTTACAAGGTTTTGTCAAATAAATCATCTTGAGTATTTTTTGGTTAGCCTTCTTATTGAATGAAAAAGGGCTCTCATCTTATATTATTATTTAATTCAGTGTATTTCGATGATTAAAGTGCTTAATACATGTATAATCAAATCTGTTATTTTTATATCCTTACAAAAACGATTTTGATACTCTAAATTTCTTATGAAACATTAAAAATTTTTTTTTTCTTCTTTAACGTTCGATAAATTATTTTTTCATTTGGTTTAAACTTACACAATCCGCTTTTTATATACTGTGCAGCGAACATAATTGCACGGGTGGATTCACAGTTTAATCTTGATCTGAGGTCACTTTTCTCTAGAAATAGCTTACTCCATGTTCTTCCAGGTGCTGAATTTGATTTAGGAATACACAATACATCAAGGGCAGAATTTGCTAGATTGACAAATAAACAATAATCATGATCATTATGTTTTTTAATCTCGTTCCAGAAAGACTATGTGTCACAATTTTTTATTTTTTTTTAATTATATCACATTTTGATAAATTTATCTACTCTTGATATATTTTATCTTGCACGTCCATATTTTCTGAATCAATGATTACTCAATAACTTGTAAAAATGTCGAAGAGGGTTGAATATTTTTCATGGAATTTCTGGTTTGAGACATTTTATCTATTGAAGCACAATGTCCTAAAATTACTGAACTTACATCTTTTTTGCACCTGTAGACGTAGGTATACATAAAATTCGAAGCAAGACTATTTAAAAAGGCGTTTATTGTTTTAGATCAATACAGACGATTTGAGAAAACCTTCAATATTTTTACTGATACGTATATCCGTAACACATTTATAGTTGTTTCGATCCAATATATCTTCACAATTCATCGAGTATTCGGTAGCATTTTTTTCATAGCCATTGCTCATGAGCAGTTTTAGATAGTCTTAATAAACATTCAAGACTTCATTACCATTTTTTGGAACCGTACATTTTTCTATTTATAATTTCTCATTAAGGTTTACTAATCGTGACAGAGCTCGTTATAGAAAAATACATAACGTACCTTTAGAGTATTATTAGTCAGCAATTTTAGTTTATTATCTACTTCTATAAAGTTATCCTTTTCCTTTAAGTTAATCAGCTCATCCCTAAAATAGTTTTTTAATGCTGGCCATCTTCTAAGAATTTGCAGAATGCATTGATACAGTGATAGCCAACGCTTTTGACAAGGGCGTAATGATTGTAAAACTGGCAAGTCTAAAATTTGTTGTATTATTCTAAATTTCCGAGATTTTTTTGAGTTCTTTCATATATAGTAGTAAATTAAATTCACTAAAGACATACAATCAAGTAATAATGTAGTAACTGCATCGTGAACACATACCGGGCACTAAGAGACGTAACGTACCAAGTAACGTACTTCCACAATCTGCGTGCTTACCGCCCCTGCTTAGAGCTTGGTAAGTAGTTTCCATGCGGATAATGCTGAAATACTTTCTTAGTAAGCAGAGAATGCAAGTTTTATATAAAAGGTTTTATAGCACTCTCGGCCCTGACTTTACGAAAAAGATGTATTTTAAGGACGTTCATAACCTTCGTTGCGGGATATGCGTTTCAGGGGGAGGGGAGAAGACTTGTGTTCTCGACAGGGTCAGTTAGATTTAAGCAACTAATTGTAAGTTTTTCCTCTCCTTCTCTTTAATAAGAAAGTGTTTAGTTTTTCTTGTGAGAGGAGGTGCTTCGTTGCATGTCTTAAGCATAGCGGTCGTTGACGCGATCGTTGTGTCGATGTTTGCGTGCCTGACGGTGAATTTACGGGACGAGAGGGATAAGGGTGCAGAGGAGGTTCCTTTCCTTTTCGTGGACGGTCATCACGAGACATTCGAACATAAGCGTTATTATTTTATTTTTTATAGTTTGTTGCCATGGCAACTTGTTAACGAAGGAGAGCAAAAACGTCACTTTCGAGACGAAAGCCTTTCCGTAAACTACCGCTTAATCTTCGCTCAATTAAGTAAATTTCCTTTTTTTTTTCTCAAAACTGTTTATTTTCCTTTCTGCGTAAAGTAACTTGTACAGTTACATTTACTTGTAAGCAAGAAAATGTTGGTATTGTAGCATTTCCTAGCAATATGTGTGTGTGTGTGTGTGTGTGTAACTGTATGCTAATACAACAACTTGATCAATACTTTATGGAATATCTTTAATTTTTCCAGGGCTACCTATATTTTGCAAGATACCATCTGAAGGCTAAGATTTTTTTCTATAAGACAAACACTGTCTTGATATGTAACTCCTCGATTACGGTTAGAAAATTACGATGTTTGCCCATTACTCCATAAAAGGTTGTGTATAATGTGCGACCTTTAACAGCAAATGTCTCAAAATTTTCAAGACATTGCTAGTATCAGCAGGATTTTATCTATCAATTAAATCACCTACGACATCTTAATTCCCCCCGCTAGGGCTCCCTTAAGTAATCAATATCAGGGTTCTAATGCAAAGTACATCTGTCACTTAACAGATTATTTGCTCACCGATTCTTACGCTGCTGTTCCAATCTCGATGAATTTTCTGCGTCAGTTTCTCGGTGTCTAATACACATTTGAAGCATTTCAAGTTTCCATCCGACTTGCATTCTTTCAACTCTAGACATAGTTGAAAACTTTTGTGAGCTCTCAAGAAAGGGCTTTTATTGAAATCTTTGTTAAGTTGTAATACATTTTTTGGC